AATTGTGAGCTAACTCTCTGTTTCAGACATGTTGTTACCACTGCTGTCAATTTTTCTCGTCTTGGTTGACTCTTATAAAATTCTCGTGGTCAATCCTAAGCTAGGATATAGTCATATGAATTTTATGGGTAAAATTGCTGATACACTGGCCGATGCCGGACATGATGTGGTAAGCTTGGAATCAAACTATTATAGTTCGGACATATTTCAGCTTGATTTTTGCATTTTTTCTCGTACAATTTTAGTATTTTTCTTGTTCTTCCTGCGGTTTCCTCGCAGAAAATAAGATTTCTCTAGGAAATCTTTTGCCAATTATGAAAAAAAATGAAATTCTTTCAATACTTACGGAAGAGTTAGGCAAAGTGCAGAACAACTAAAGATGGAAAAGCAAAATTTTTTGAGTTCTCGTCAGCCAGCCTACATACAAGTTTTCTTTGAAAAGTCTTCTTGCAGGTAACTCTGCAACCCGCTCTCTTTCCCTACCCGAGCAATGGAACCACAAAATCTTATGTAATACAAACATCCATTGACAGGAATTTACAAAAAGAATTCATCAACGCGCACTATCAAAATCAACATAGCATGTGGACAGCTAGTTGTACGAATCCTCTCGGTGTAATTGGAGTGAGTATTGTACAAGAGGAAAGCCATGGTTACTGTAATGAATATTTTAGTTTGCTCCCATGTTCGCTCGAATCGTCTCTGCGTCAGTGTCAAGTAAGTTACAAAAGTGAAGATAGGGTTTTCAGTGTAAAAAGAGAGAAAACCACATTTTTTTCAAAGCTAAACCCGCCCAAGAAATTGAAATTGCGGGAAAAATTGAAAATTGATCCAAAATAAATAATATTCCCCTATTCCACGTTTCAGGTATTCTGGATGACGACGAGTTGCTAGAGCATTTGAAGGCCGAAAAATTTGATGTTGGCATTACAGAATTGTTTGATTTTACAGGCATCGGTATGTTTCTTTAAAGTGATTGCCATACATTAGAAAAAGGTTATAAATTTCCATTTTCAGCTGTATATGAGGCCATAGGCCTGAAGAATATGATTGGGACCCATGCTTCGAATTCGTTAGCTGAAAGCACAGCATATGCCATTGGTGCTCCGGTAACTCCCAGCTTCATGCCAGGTAACTGAAAACCGTCCAATCACAGCTTTTCAGCAAACTGCAGATTTCCTAATGTTACGCCTTCCAGTAATGGTATATTCCAGCTTCCCAAGGAATCACAGGCGATTCCACATCCTTCTCTACCCGAGCTGTAAATCTCCTATTCACTCTGCTGTCATGGTATTTCCAGAAATCTGCAGCGAGTGCGGCTGAGTCTGTGATGATGAAAAAATTGGGAAAAACCGCTACTCCGATTTGGGTGAATAATACCAATTAATCAAAAATAAGTAATGTAGTTTTTTTCATTTCAGGAGTGCGTTGCAAATATGCC